GTGGAACCTGTCGTCTGATGTAAGCATGTTGTTTAACCCATCTACCTTTAGGTGGCACACAAGAAGAGGTAAAATCATGTGGAAGTGTATCAGGGCAGCTATATTATGGATTGTTTGGGAGGAAAGGAATGCTAGAACCTTCCTAGAGAAGGAAAGAAGCTTGGATGAAGTGATGGACTGTATCTTAACTAGAGTAATCCATTGGTTGAAGACCTTGTCCCTGTTTGCTGAATTCTCTTTCGATGATCTTTGGAGAAATTGGCTAGAAGTGGCTAACACTTCCACTAGAAAGTAGAAGCGTGGTAGAGTGGGAACCTCCACCAAAAGGTGTCATTAAATTGAACTTTGACAAGAGGAGCCAAGGTAATCCTGGGCCTTTAGTAGGGGGTGTGCTGAGGAATAAGGACATCAACATTATCTCATTATTCTCAGGACCGGTGGGAGTGGGAGACTCTACAAGAGCTGAGTTACTAATTGTTGTTCAAGGGATTCAGGTTGCTAACCAGCTTGGGGTGAAACATCTTCTAATTGAAGGAGATTCTCAGGTGGTAGTAGGGTGATTGTTAAATCCGAACACTGTCATATGGGGATATAGAGATCTCCTCAAAAGAGTGAAGTGGATGACTAGAACTATGAGTGGATGTTAAATGGTAAGCAGGTCAGCAAACACTATGGCTGATTCTTTGGCCAAGACAGGGGCATCCAGGGAAGGTCTTTTTTTGGGCATCTTTGTAACTTATTCTAGTAAGTACGGAAAGCAGTATCTAAATATTCTTGAGAGGTAGCATCGCATGCCTCTCCTTGGGATGCTTGTACTTCTTACCTTTGGTATCTAATAAAAAATTTATTCAATTATCAAAAACATAGGTGACTGACTTCCAAGTATAGACATGGCATCCAATTGATGAGAAAGCATGATGTAAGGACAGCATCACTCCAAAAACGCTTGAGAACATTCATATCATGAATAATGAGCCGAGCAGTTTCAAGTAAATGCCATTTTTTCCATCCAGCCCCACCATTCTGTTGTGGAGTGTAAATACAAGAAGTTTGATGAATTACACCGTATTGTTCTAAATATCGCTGAAATGGTGTTGAACAATATTCTTTCGCACTATCCAAATAGAGAATCATAATATGGACCTCAAATTAGGTACATATTTCACCATGAAATTTTTGGGAAATAGAGAACAATTCACTTCTGTCTTTCATAAGATAAAGCCATGTCATCCTTAAGTAATCATCAACAAAAATTACAAAATACTTGTAACCATTGTACAACACAATTTTATTTGGACCCCAAACATCTGAATGAACTAACGAAACACGACTATCAACCCTAGGACTAAAGGAAACTCTGTGATGTTTTCCAAATTGACATGACTCACAATCCATAGAAGAAAGATGACTTAACGACGGAAAAAATAATTTTAAAGCCTTGAGAGACAGATGACCAAGTCTACAGTGCCACTGGAGAGGAGTGAGAGAAGATTGAAATGCTACTTTCAGACCACCACCATTAAGATAATACAACCAACTTCATGCCCTCCACCAATCTTCATCCCCGTCTTAAGATCCTAAAGCACACAAGAAGAGGGATAAAAGGTGATAGAACAAATAAGAGATTTAGTCAATCTACTAACAGACATGAGGTTAAATGGATATTTGGGTACATATAAAACAGAGGATAAAGATAAAGATGTGAGGTCAACATCACTAACACCACAAATAGGAGAGGTAGAACCATTAGCTAGGGTAACTGTTTGGGATGTTGAAGACTGAGAGAGAGAAGAAAACAACCTAGAGTCCCAGTCATATGATCAGAGGCTCCAGAGTCAATAATCCAATGTGAAGGTTTGGATGCCAAGCAAACCATACCTGAGTGAGCAAGGGTAGTTGTGTTATGTTGAGAAGAAGTCTAAAGAAGTTTCTCATACTCATCAAATTAGACACTCACCATTTCCTTCCCAAAAACACTTGTAAATGTGGAAGGCGTCTAATCAACCTGTTGGTTCTCACTAACTATACCACCACCACTAATCACAACATGATTGGCCCAAGTATTGGGTGGGCCATGCAAGTCATAACAGAAGTTGACAGTATGTTCCTCTAACTCACAATATGTGCATCTCTTAGGACCATTACTTTGTCCTCTACCACGACCTCCCCATGAATCTCTACCTCATCCACCAGTACGGTTAAACATAGGACCACCTCGGTTCCCTGAAGTCCAAGCCCACCTCCACCACCTCTATTCCCACAACCTCCCCTCTCGCCACCACAAAAATAGACTTGTTAGAGAGGGTAGGATGCTCCAAATGTTCAATAGAAATCCTCCGGAGTTAGGCAAACACCTCAAGAGAGGGAAGAGAAAATCTGCCTAGTATTTGTGCCCTAACAGGTTCATATTCAAATTTCAATCCCACTAAAAACCTTGTCACAACAAGTTGTTCCAGTTGTTGCTGCTGAATCTTAACATCTGAAGTCAAGGGGTGATACACATTAAGCTCATTACAAAGGTTTTTCATACTAGCATAATACTCCTCTAGGCTCTAATTTCCCTACTTCAGATTAAAGTACTCCAAATAAAGTTGATAAACCCTGGTGGTGTTATCAGGCCAAAATAAAGTTTCTTAGTATGGTCCCAAATCTCCTTCAATGTATCCAAGAACATAAAATTCACACTAATTTTAGGCACCATGCTATTCCACAACCAAGCCATAATCTATGCATCTTCCTATTCCCACTCACTATACCCCTAAGATTTAGACGAGGGTTTCTCCTCCATATGTTTTACCTTCTCCTTGGCTACCAGGAGAATTTCCACCAACTTAGCCCATGGCACATAATTCTCACCATTTAATTTGATGGAGGTCATCTGTACACTTAGGTAATCAAGGGAAATCATAACACCAGTTTTATTATCACTACCCTCTCCAATTGTTGCCATTGTAATAAAATAAATCAATCACCGAGATCACCCTTCATTATTCAGCACTCACCATACCACACACCACACTACACTTAATTAATTGTTGCTGAGACACTCATTCTCATAGGGTTCAGCACCAAAACCCTATTGTTGTCACACACAATCAGACATAAATAGGAAGGAAAAACAGTCCCTACACATACCTACCAATCAGCACTTTCACAGAATTGAAATCTAGTCCAAAAGGGGGAGAAAACACCATGCTATCCACCGACTATAGAATTCTGTTCACACCTGTCCACGAACCAGCCCTCTTCGAGTCATTGAGTAGAGGGTTTCTAGCAAACCACTGAAACAAACACCACCACAACATCTAGAGGCATAATTACCTCCTAGAAGGAAAAACGATCAGTCCCTTTTGGCCTCTTATCGATCCTCCAATTGGTTAATGAGATGTTTCAAAATCTCAGACCTGATATGGCAATGCAAGAAAAAAATAGGAAGAAACAAAACTGATTTCTAGACTGCATTTTGGGGGAAGAACCTTCTCACTCTGTTGTAATTTTCTTATTTGGCTCTAATAAAATATTATCTTATTAATAAAAAAATGCCCTTGTCAAGACATATTCCTTAACTTCTGAACAA